CTGCCAGAGCTGTATTCCAGGCAGAGGAAGGCTCTGCTCAGGGGCTGGAGCCTGCAGAGGCTTGGCTGTGAATGGCTTGGGGTTCTGTTGGGCAGGGCTCTCTCTGTCCTCTCTGCACAGGGCTCCTGCATGTGCAGAGGATGGACATTTGGCACCTGCACCTCTGGGCTGCCAGGAGCACTAGCTGGGCTTGCTGGGCTTTCAGGCACAAGGGGGGCCCTGTGCAGGCAGGTGTGGACGGGGAGTGTGTGGGAAGCCCCCACAGCAGTCGGGGGTAGCCGGGGCTGGGAGAGTGACTGAGTGTCCGGGCAAAGCAGGTCCTGGGCTGTGTTGGGGTGGTGCTGTTGGTGCTGCTGGGGGCTGAGTGGCTCATGGCACGCTCCTACCTGACAGGTGTCAATGAGGCCCTGTGGGTAACCAGCACACAAGTTGTGGGTATGGATTTTCCCTGCGTACCAGCGGCTGCTGTTGCAGATCTTGAGATTGATGAGCTGAACTGTGGCCTCCTGCAGGTGATCACTTGATGTCTGTGCTGTGAGCAGAGAAAAGAATGAACCCCCCGCAGCTCTTTCCCAGTTGTCCACGCAAGGCTGACATATGGGGGATCCATTTCCCTAGGGCATGGCTTTCCCTCTGCAGAGGCACTGGGGTGCTGTGTCCCTACTCCCTGCCTTTGGGGAGCAGGCCAGGCCCATCTCTGCAAAGGTGTTCATCCAACAGCCTGGCTGTGGCCTCTGCTGTGGGGAAGCCCAAACCCTCTCCCCGCTGTGCTGAGCTAGCCCAAAAGTCTCTCCTGGGAACTCACCTCTTGGAGCGGTGGAACCCCAGCCAGCAACCCAGCAGTTCTGCAGCTCTGACACTCTCAGTGTGGCATCAGGCACACAGGCCAGCTGGATGTAGGGGCTGCACAGGACAGGATGGTCCAATTCCAGCAGGGCGATGTCATAGCTATAGTCGTCAGGATTGTAGTACGGGTGTATCACCAACTGCTTAACACGGCGCAGTTGTGCCCCAGGGCCCGGCTGAGTCAATTGGGTGGCCCCAATCACCAGATACACCATGCCGATATCCCTAAAAGGCATGGAGCGAGCACTGAGGGGGAGCAGAGCCATGTGCCACAGTAGCTCAGCAGTTGCCAGACCTCTGCATGGCAAGGCAGAGAGGGAGCAGGGCTCTGGCAGGTGTGAGTGCCCTTGCACAAGTTAGGCTGGGGGAATGTCAAGCTGAAAGCAGCTGAGAAGTCTTGGCACAAGGCCGGGCTTCTCCTGAGCAGTGTGGCACCTGGGCTGCCTGAGAGGAAAGGGGAGGGGAGTAGCAGGTGGTGCTGGTGGCAGGGCACCTGCTGGTGTTGTGGGGATGTCCCCATTCCCTGCTCCTCCTTACGTGACCTGGTCGAAGCAGTGGGCTGCTGTGAGGACCCATTCTGCCCTGATGAGAGACCCTCCACACAGATGTCTCAAGCCTGGTACCCAGGGATGCCGGATACTGACGATCCACGGCCAGGCCCCTGGCAGGGCATCTGCGCCACCCACAACACGTGTCATGCCATAATCCAGGCTGCCGTAGGAATAAGTCATAGGATGGTAAACAGATGGCACAGCTTGGAGTCCACAGGTTCCTCTGCAAGCAGAAAGTAATTTCCATGCTGCTCCATGGCCTGCTGTGGCTCAGGCTGAAGCTCAGCCCTCTGCCCTCCCCACAAGGGCTTGCAGGCACAGCAGGCCAGGGAAGCCCATGGGGTGTGTGTCTGTCCGTGCCAGCACCTGGCTGCTGGCAAGGAGCTGAGGCTGTCCCATGGTGGGTGGGAAGCTGTGGCCCGGCCATGGGGGACAGGCGGGGCCCCTGCAGGGAAGGCCCCAAGTGTTGCCGTGGCTCCCTGCCAGGGCCTGGGGCCACTTACCCGCAGGTGTACTCCATGCTGTGGGCCAGCCCGGCCACGGTCATCAGGACGAGGAGGCTGAGCCAGTTCATGGCTGCCAGAGGCTCGTGTGAGCAGCAAGCACTGAGGGCTCCGTGCAGCAGCACAGCCACAGCCGCAATGCCCACAGCAGCCACGGTGTCCTTGCTCCCAGGGCTGATGTCACGGAGGGGTGGATTCCGTGTTCTGGGCACAGCAGCCTGTGGCATGGGAGACCCATGGTGGGAGGAGCCACATCAAATCAAGTAGCAATAGAATGGTTAACAAATGTTCAAGAAAGGACCTTGAAGATCACATAGTTCCAACTTGCTACAATGGGCAGGGAGGGACGGCTTGCACTAGACCCGGTTGTCGACAGTGTACATGCCTGGCTCAAAAGCTGTCCTTGAATTCTTCAAGGGATGAGACATTGTAGTACTAAGTTCTTAAACAACCAAATTTGACTGAAGGATAAAGAACAGCTCTTGACCAAAAGCTGGCCTCATATTGACCCAGACAACTCCCTTGGTTCCTCCTGGAGCCCTCCAAGGCCTTGGGAGCATCCCAATACAAGAACAAAACCAGATGTCCCTGCACTAGAAGATATGGCAATTTGTTTATTCAACTGTATAAAAACAGGGCCCTCTCACAGCGCAGTCAGAAACCTCGTTGCCTGTAGGGGAAGGCACCTGCAGAATTTCCCACTTGCCAGGAGTGGTTCCCCAGTATTGTGACAGTGGCTTCCCCCAGCTGATGGGCAGATCTGGTTGATGGTAAAGGATTAGGGTAACTTGTGATGTTATGCTTTCTTCATCACTGCAGGCAATCTTTTACAGTAATGATTGGATGCATTGCTTAGCTTATCCTTTTGCAATTCTTTGCAGTTTTGAATGACAGTAAATTAATGCTTAATCCTGAGGTTGGTGTCTGCGTCTTCTGTGCTGACCCTGACTGTGGGAAAAGCAGGGTTCCACACTGCTCTGGGCGGCCTGTGCCTCAGTGCCTTGGAGTGATTTACTGTGGCAGTGTATTCAGATATCCTCTGCTCTTTCCAGAAATTGTTACTGCATCATTAAAACCCTGTAACCTCGGGACCTTGTGCATGGGAGGCCGGGGGAAAGGAGTGGGTTTCTTTTATGTGGGTGTTGCAAAAGATTTTCCTTTCCTTGTCTTGGGGAATCTGCAGTAGCAATTTTGGGCTGCCTTGAGGCAAGTCGAGCAGCTGCTTCTCCGAGACCAGGGACATCACACTGGCAGGAGCAGAGCTTCCCCGCTCCGACCCAAACCACTGAGAACTGCGCCAAGCTGTGGAGAGAACACACCAAGGGGCTCCAGCCCAGCTATTTTGCCTGACACCACCGTTCTGCTGTTCTTTGCTGTGGGGAGGAGGTTGGTGTCAGATGAGCCATGAGGCCTTTGTCTGCTGCTGGGCCTTTGTCTGCTCCGTGAGGCTACTGCCTTCCAAAGGGGGAGAAGTTGATACCATCTTGTATCACATTCCAGGAATGGGTAATCTCCAGCATTTTGGGTCTCCTTTTGTTCTGGTGAGGTGGTGAGGTCTAACACTTTGGTATGTACAAGTTATTTACTTTTTATTTTTTTCCTGCCTGTTGGCATTTGGTTTGTTACTAAAACATTGAGGTTTTGTTGGTTTTTTTCACTCTCATTTATTAGTATTCATTCCTTACTGGCAGAAAGGGATTCTTAGAAGTGTAAAGGAGATACCCCAGATGGTTCTTTTTTAAATTGCCTCAAAATGAGACAAAATTTGTTGCCCAACTTAAGGGGGCAACAGAAAATGAAAAAGAAAAAAATCACATTCCTGTCTGAAAGACTTTGTATTGGGTACAACAGTCAGTGGTCACCATGCTGCCTGGTTCAATCACGGCCTCCTGGCATTGAGGCATGGCTGCTTACCCACATGTATTGGCAATCCTGGCCCTGGTATATATCTTCTTCATATCGGGGACACAAATCAGAATCGCTGTGTAGATATTCTCTGTGCTAATAATTTATGGAAAGATAACATCAGAGGCAATGAGAGTTATTTGGGATGTGTATTCTCTGCTGTTTCCCTGTGATGGTCTCGGCAGTATTTTTTTGAGATTTATAAACAATTGCTCTCAGTCTGCTGCGGGGGAAGTAGGGGATGATTTTTCTCAGCGTTTTCCTTCCTTCTTCCTCTTCAGATCTGGCACATCATCTTTTGAGAAGATTCTGTTTACTCTGGATTGGTAAATATGGTAAAGATACCATATTTTCTTTTTTTATATTCTGCTAACTCTCCTCCGTAAGACCTACAGGACATTTAGAATCAGGGCTGACATTTCCAGAGAGGTTGTTGAGACATCTGCCCCCATGCAGGAAAATCCTGAGTCATGTGGGATGTGGGAGGACATAGGCCAAAGCCTGAAGGAATTCTCTGCCCCAATAGTTTGGAACTTTCCCCCTGAACAAATTCAGAATCCAGCTGAGGTGGGGAAATATCTGAAAGAAAATTGCAATGGCAGCTCTAAAGAGAAGCAGCTCATTGCATTGTGCTGGGCCCTGGCTAATGCTTATCGCACACTGCTAGACACTTTAGGGCAGCAAATACAGCCAGAAGGGCTGGAGGATGAGTCAGCAGACACCCCAGGCACTCCAGCTGCAGCTAAACCAGGTGGGGAGCCTAAGCCAGCAACAAACAAACCGAGACTCCGTGATTCCCATACATGGTATGATCCATGAACAGGAGAGCCAGGGAATGGTCAGTAAGACCCATTCATGGTTCAACAGTCCCATTTAGCCTTTGCACAAGTCTGATGGGGAATGGACATTGACTGTGGACTACTGTAGCCTAAATGAGCTGTCACTGAGAGCTGCTGTGCCAGACATGCTGGAGCTCCAGTACAAGCTGGAGTCCAAGGCAGCAAAGCGATATGCCACTATTGACATTGCTGATGTGTTTTTCTCCATTCCTCTGGCAGAAGAGTGCAGGCCTCAGTTTGCTTTCACCTGGAGGGGTGTGCAGTACACCTGGAACTGACCGCCCCAGGGGCAGAAGCACGGCCCCAGCATCTGCCATGGACTGATCCAGGCTGCACTGGAAAAGAGTGAGGNGCCGCGTCACGGGCGCACCTTGGGTGGGGGCCTGGATGGAGCGCGCCCCAGGCCCATGAAGTGTAGTGAGACCTCATAGTCAACAAGAGGCAGGACTAATCTCTTCCGTGTGGTAACCAGTGACAGGACCCGAGAGAATGGCCTGGAGCTCAGTCAGGGGAGGTTTAGGTTGGGTATCAGGGTATGGTTCGTCACCCAGAGGTGTCTGGGCACTGGCACAGGCTCCCCAGGGAAGTGGTCACAGCACCAGCCTGACAGAGTTCAAAAGGCTTTAGGACAACGCTTTTAGGCACATGGTGTGATTCTTAGGACTGTATGTGCAGGGCCAGGAGTGGGACTCGACTGTGCTGGTGGGTCCCTTTCAGCTCGGGATAGCCTGTGCCTCTGTGGGAGCCACCAGGTACGATGCTCGGCCGAGGGGATGGCGTGTCGCAGTGCCCCGGGCTCAGGGCCCGCCGGGGGACCGGGCGTGTCCATCAGCCTGGCAGGATGGAGAGGTCTCGGAGAAAGCCAGCGGAGCTCGGCGAGTCGGTGGCCTGGGGAACCCCAGACCCCCTGCGAGCGTGCCGTGGGACAGAGCCCATGGCGTGCTGGGGCCGCTGATGTTGGCTAGTGGGTTGCTAGCAGCTGTCCCTCCTTGGCTCTCCGTTGTCTCTGGTAACCAGGAGCCTGAGGAAGGGCAGTGGGCCCGCCCTTCTGCCTCTTGCACGGCTTCAAGTCTGCATTTCATGGATTCTCTGGAGGTTTGTAAAGACCTTTGTCGGCATCAGAGCGTCTGTGTAAATCAAATTGTTTATTTGTGCACCTCAGCCAGCCCGCCAGCCTCCTTTACCTGCTTGAAGCTGAAATGGGATCAACAAGACTGTTCAGCGCATCCCTCCGCTCGTGTCCGACCAGCTCAGTCCTTGAACACTTAACCAGTGACCTCATGTGCTTAAAATTAGAACCATACACGCATTTTTGTCTCTGAGAAGTTACTAGTGTTTACACAACAGCAGCTTTTGCTGGAAAACCAGCCAAACCCTTCACCAAATTCTAAAAATAATCTGCAAAAAATGCAAAAACCCCCCCAACTTCCCTTGCACCAGAAGCAAAACAGTGGGTCTGAATTTCCATTGCAATATTTTGACAGATTTGTGTAGCTGAGGCTGTAAACATCTTCATAAATTCTGTAAACACAATCCTTGTTCTGGAAAACCTTCCTTAGGAAAACACTTGGGAAGGCACTTCATGAGTTGTGTATCTATCTTCAGGAAGCTCTTCTGTGCTCGTGAAAGAAACTGACTGTTATACATTACTTATAAATAACACATACATATGCATCTGTATGTATAGGTAAACACATTAGTAGTGTATGTTTAGTTCTGGCTGTACTAATTCTGGTGTCATTCAAGGGCTACCCCCAGCTCCTCAGCACTGGTCAGCCCACAGTGGAGTTTCCTACATATTTGGGAAAACAGCTGATGCATGCACAGGCAGAGAACACCCCCATGTTGTAGGAGCAGTGTAACTGGACCTGCTGTTTGCACATTCAGCAACCTGTTGCTCTGAGCATGCATCATTTGTCAGTCTGGAAATGATAGAGGTTCCCAGCTCATCCTTGAACCAAAGCCTCCCAAACCATGGCAGGGGCTTCTGTGAATTCCTAGCTCTCTCCCACATAGCTGGAACTACTACTGCAAAGGAAAATTTAGGGTCCTTCATTTTTCTGGGAACAAAATAATCCAAGATTGGGTTTATTCGAGGTAAGCTGCCATGGTCTAGCCGGCATGTCAAAACAAGTTTGTCGACAAACTGGATATTAACCCAGTTTAGTTGCTTAGCTCATTAAAATGCACTCACTTTTATCCCAAGAACAAGACTGTGTCTAGGGCTCTGTGTGGGGCCTGAGTCTGCAATCCTTACTTGGTCAAAGCTCCCACTTGTGCAAACTCATCCAGGTATGGATTTGTGTATGCACCTGTGGTCAGAGAAGAAAGAAGTGTAAGCTCCAATGTCTTCTAAATGTGTTTAATGGCCCCATTAACTAAGGCAAAGCTTAGAGTGACTTCCTGCTTTACAATTTGAATAAGCATTGGTCAGTATATCGTAGGAAAATTTCATCAGAAATTAAAAGTGTAATAATGTAATAATTCTTGTTATCTGAAGATCTGCTTTTGCAGTTGTTTTGGCCGTGGTTGTTACTGTTATCTTCTTTCATGTTACCAAGGTCAGTCATTCATTTAATAGCTCTATTTAATTTTGTTGTGCTATTACTACAGGCTTCACGTTTCCCCCAGATGGGAAAATGCAGGGACAATGACTGAAGAGCTGCATGGAAGAGAAGGTGACCACAGAGATAGTCCTGTCATAATTCAGTCACTCTCCAAAGAGACAAAGCAGAAGAAAGGCAGTGGGCTGAGCATAAAAATGGCCTGGAAGGAGAAAGCTTTGAACTATCTGAGACCTGCAACTAAAATATGCCAAAAGTTATTGCTGCTTCAAGTAGCATTAAGGTCTGCTTGGTGCCCAGCAGGAACAGTGTATATTTAGTGAGTGGCTTCAGCTTTGGCACTGAAAACCTGGATATTCTACCACCTTACCAGGACACAGATCCCATCCAGTACTGTAGTAGTGATTTCAGACCCTGGGTTGAATGAAACCTTCTCCCGCAATTTTCAAACTCAGTTCTCAACAGCAGAAGGGTGAGAGGTTCAGAAGTAACACAGGAACAGGTCACCACTGAGATGTGAATAAACCAGAGCAAAATCATGCTCTTTATTGCCTTTCATTACACCAAGACATCTACTGTAGTGTGGAAAACTAAATGAGAGACCTGGCAAATATGAAAGGGTAAAATACCTCCAGCTGCATGCAATAAGACTTCAATAGCATGAAAGAGTCCTGAGGTCATTACAAACTACAGGTACAGGGCTCCATGGATTGTTTACTTTCATGAGGGACACCGGAAAAAATGACACATACTCTGAATATGTGTAGACTTGGCAAATATGTTAATAGTTACAATCAAGATTCTGATTTTGTTTAAGAATCATTAGGAAGTCTTAGTGAAAAGTTAGGTAGCTTATAATTTGCCCTAATACTTTAAACCTGCAAGCAAATGAGGGGGAGTTTTAATACCAAGCCATACCTTTTGGGAATACTCTTATCAAGTATGTGCAAAAACCTCCCCAAAATGTTTAAATACATTTAACAGGCCAGAAATTGTCTCAAGGTCAGTTGTACTTAAATTTAGTAGTAAAGTTTGTGTCTTCACTTTCTTTGGGTAACTGAAGGTTTTTATTGTTTCATTACAAAGAACTGCCCTAATGATATCCGTGTAAGAACTTCGTATGAAAATGGTAAATAAAAGCAGCATTTGTCACTAATTAGCCTGGACATCTGGAAGAAGGATAATAAAATCACAGTACAACTTTATAGTTGCAGAAATTTCTTGCACATCCCCAAGGCCTCTAAAATGGTATCAGAAAATTTACTCCAGAGAAGAGAGAATTATCTCTTAAACATGTGGGTTGACAGTGGTCTGAAGAAGCTTGTAAGGGCAGTTGCTCTGTCCCTGGGCATGTCTCTGATGGCCTAAAAAAGCAGCAAAGATCTCTGCACTGTCTCTTAATAATCATAGCTAAAAATAGCTAGTTTTGATTGTTTCCTTCAGCTTTGATATCTCGTCTTTCTTTTGATGCCCCCAGTCTCTTCAGCCATACAGCCAACTTCTTCCCACATCTGAAGAGATTCAAAAGGAAACTAGCAAGCTGCCATAGCACTGAGGTAGAACCACAATGAAACCTGGGGCAATAGCAACTCTGTGAATTTCACCCCTTGTTTTCTTTTGCTGCAGCATTTTTTGACTGTTGTGGCTTTTAGTAGTGGTTTCAAACTTACTTTTAAAAAAAGTTTAATTTTCTTTCTTTCCCCTTTTTTTTTTTTTTTTTTTTTTTTGTAGCTTGAATTTAGATTAGTGTCTTGGCAGAGGAGGTAAGGCTTGAATCATTTTCATGCAGCAGTACTGACAATATCTTTTTTGCTATTCATTTTTTGAGAAACATTAACATTCTTAGAAAAGACTAGCAGAGAGTAATAATGAAAACAATGTAGTATGTTGGAAATATCTGTAATGAATATGCAATATCTTGGTATTCCTTTTATCTGAAAATATTTGTTATGTAAGCATGTTAAAGAGTAGAATAACTACTTAAATCTTCGTGATTCCTATCATAGTCATATCTGAGCTATCACATGAAACATAATGCACCTCTACATTTGAGCTGGGAAGCTTCCTGAGCTGTTGCGAAGCTGTAGATCTGAGGAGCAGAGGGTCTAAATGGTCTGTCCAGGAGCAGAGAGATAACCAGGGACAAAGGAGACAGCAGACTCACTAGAAGCAGTCCTCAGGGACCTTCTAGATACAGTTTTAATACCAGCTTTAGATAACCCCAGGAGATGGGGCAGGATGGTAGAAAGCCTGCAACAAGACTCCTGGTGATCTGCCATTGATCTTCAGAGGGCCACCAGAGACCAGAAGTAGGGGAAGAGTTGGGAAAGGCAATTAACCTAAGTGGTCACAGATGTTCTCACTCCACATCTGCCCTCTGCAGAGTTCAGTGGTGTTGGTTTCTGTGGAAACAGAAACTGTGCTAAATGGAGCTGCTATCCCTGGCAGGATCTAATTTTCCCAAAGACGTATTCTACAGTAGCGCAACAAGCACTCCTTGATGCAGAAAGGTGCAGAGCAGTATTGCATATTCTGATCCAAGGAAGAACAGCTTTTGATCCAGGAACAACTGTGGGATTTGTTATGAGCTGATGCAATAAATGATTCTGTAAAAGGAAGGTCTCTAACTGTGGCAAAATCTCTCTGTAATCCTCAGGGAGCATGGGGTCAGCTTGAAATTTTTCCTCTGCCCATTTTAAGGTGACCAAGGGAAGAAAGATTTGAGCTAAACTCCTGACTGCAGAGTTTAAGCATGCCTGTGTATGTCTCTCTGTGTATTTTTTTACTTATTTAGGACTTATTTTTGTAATGCCTTATTTGGTTAAAATACCTTGTTGAGTGTACTAGGTTTCACTTTTTATTGAGTCACTCTACCACTTTAGAGGCTTAAAATGACTTGGGTTGTGTGGTACTTTTTTCCCCATCTTTCCCCTAGCCCCTCCTCCACATCCCCCCCAAAAAATGCAGTCGCCTTGTTTTGTTTTCTGCTGACTGCACTGAACTGGCAGAATAGCTTTAATTGACAAAATGACAGGATAGAATAAAATGTTGGAAGGAAAAAACTGACACAGGCATTCCTGAACTTTTTAGCAGTTCAACCACAATGGCCTGTTCAAATGAATTCATTACTTCCACAAGAGAAAGTAAATTTTATCCCTCCCAGAATCTGCATGAGGAACAAAATGGCCAACAGCTGCTGACTGCCATGAGTTGTCCACATCTTACAGTGGACTGAAGGCTAAGCTGAAATCCACCCCACCTTCTCCAAGGTTATCAGGAGCAAAGGAAGGCCATCTGGGCCTCCTGTAACAGCTGCTGAGCCAGAGCTGGCAGTAACCTTGACTGCAGTAGCTTCAGCCATGGATTTAACAGTGGACGGAATCTAGAAGTCTCCTTTAAATATCCCAAGAGGGTGTAAAACAACCAGATGAGGATTATAGGCAGCAGGGTTCACTTTGAATTGATTAAATCTCTGCACAAAACCAGCACCCCAAAGTCAGGTGCAGGGAGAGGGAAGGGAACCTTACTCAGAATTACCTGGCCACGCCTGAGGTGGGATAACTGACTACACAGGGCCTTAGTCTGCCACCAGAACCATGCCCTTGCAAAACCACATCATCTTGCTCTCCTAGCTGGGAAAGGAGGGTGCCTGGAAACACATAGGAGAACACAGCAAACAAGAAAAGAAGCACATTGTGTCAGATTCTACTTTTTAAGTTTGCCAGAGAAGTAAGAAACAATGTGAACCTGATTTCCAAAATGAGATAAAAATAAACCAAAGGGGTTATTTTTAGATGTACCAAGATATCCAATAACAATTCATCTTTACAGCATGTACAGATAGGATCCAGATTCTGATTTTGGTTATATTTATGGAAGTTTTCCATTAGCTTCAAAGATAATTAGTAGTTTCACCAAAGTAATTTGATCAGATTTCAGCCATAGATCTATTGTTCCTTGATGTGATGCACTTACTGAATAGGTTTTAGGGGGAAAATAATGATAAAAAAATAAAAAGAAGCAACACACTGCTCTACCTCACAGTTTCATTGAGGTTTAAATGATTGTAAGTGTTTTGAGAATGGACAGTGGTCTATGTCTGCTAAGCATTCTTATGCATTATATAAATGCATAGTAATCAGGCATGCTATTCTCATCTTTGCCAACAGCATGATAATGACGTCTCTGTAGTGGGATGAAATGCAACACTATATTTAATAAAGGTTATGGATTTTGTTTCTGTTTCATGTTGTTAGGTGCTCTGCTGCTTCTGGTATCTAGGTCACTGTTCAAATCTGTCAGGGGTTAACTGTGGCCAGTCATTGCTATCTGGCCCTCTGCTCCTACTGGGAAAGTTGTTCCCCTCTGTAACTCATCAGCTTAGTTTAAAGTTAGCAAAAATGCTCTGTGACAGTGCCAGCGCTTACAGGGATGGAAGAAAATGCCAGACTTTATTCCAGGATATTCATAACTCAGCTACGCAGTGTTGTTGATAGTGATGTAAAATGAATTAAGGATATTTAGCTGAAACACTGAAGTCCAGAGTCTTTTAGGAGTACTAAAAATCTAAGTAAAATATCTGAGAACAGGTTTAGTAAGCTAATGGTTTGCTTAAGAGAACAGTATCATTTTTCACATGGGTGTGATGTGGTTACAATAAAGTACAGGACAGAAGATGTCACTGGGGTCCCAGAACACTTTTCTTCACAGTGTGGTTTGCAAGATGTCTTGACAACAAAAAAGTTTATTTCCATTGCAAAACTAAATACATGCATACAGACATACATGCATACATATATATATATATATTCTTTAGTTTAGATTTGTGTCTCAAGCCTTACTTTTGGCACTGCTCCTGTATTGCTACTATTTACCCTGAAATCCACTGGAACAAATCTTAAAGTCTTCTGGTCAGTTTTTTATTGAGCTTTTACTAGAAAAGAACTTGTGGTAGTTCAGATCTTGATGGATAAAAAACAGCTGAGCCCACACCCTTCCCTCTGATTTCCATAGCAGTTGTTGCTGAGTAAGAACTGGATGCATCTCCTGCTCCCGCTTCAGGACTGCTGACGTGAACAAGTGGGAGGAAGATCAAGCTCCGGCAAGGACGGACTTCAGGAGCTGCTTCGTTCTTCTTTCACACGGATGGGAGTGTCACAGCTCCCTTTCCTGTCTAATCAGTCTCAACACAGCCTTGCACAACTCAGCCTGCTTTAAGCTTTTAACCAGGGTGTAGGAGTTCAGAAAAAAAAACCACCTCCCTTCCCCCAAGAAAAATGTAATTGCAAAGATTTGTTTTGATGTAGCATGTACAGTAAACTTGGATCACTGAAAGGGAGCCACACATTTGTGCGAGTATTTTTTCTTTCCCTCATTTTCATTCCTAGTTAGTTATTCATTTTATTTACCTCCTAGAGAAAATGCACTAGAGACTGGATCTGACTTCCAGTGAGGCTCGTGATGGAGCTGCAAGGACTTTAATCCCCAGGGCTGTAAAACAGCTCCTCTCTGGTGACCTCGCTGGGGCTCTCCCAGTATATACCAGCAGACAAGCTGGTCCCCGTCATCATTAATGCAGACAGTGACTCATCTTGTGGGCCAAAGCAAATGTTAATGCTTAATAATTATATCAAAATAGTGCATGGTGATAGATTCCACTCTCATTGTAATTGTGCTACTAATTACAAGTGCTAGTTACTCTTTGTAAGACTGTTTGTAAGACTCATTTGTTTTAGTATTCTGAGAGAAATCACAATGTTAGTGAATGGAAGGCTTCATACAAAAGCCTTGATCTGTGCCAAAAGCAGTGTATATATGTGCAATTTCAGTGTAAAGATCATGGTGCTTGTAAGCTCTCTAGACCTCTGGTGAAGGCAAAACAGAAGTTTCAAATTTATTCTTCCGTTAATAAGCTCAGAATATGGATCTTGGTTATTATTATTGCCAGTACATAACATGCTGAGATGTGGAGGACAAATGGCAGAGCAGACTAAATTCAAATTAAGCAATAAATGAGCATAGTAAATAGCAGGGTCAGAATGGAATATCAATAAAATATTGTTCCATTTAGGGAAGGTGATCCAACAAAATTAACTAATATTTAACAATCATATGCTCACTGTAATTTGTTGTAACAGCAATAAGAAAATCACTAATGAATGACTACAGAAATGTACAGGTTGGGACACTTAATATACATCTAAAC